TCGGCTTCAGCCCTAAGCGTCCCGGGCTGTTCTTCCCACGGATTGCCTCGTTTACGTTTCAGCCCGTTTTGTGGCTAGGAGGTGTTATTCCCATTTTACAGATGGGGAAATTGAGGCTGAGCTATGATGTCCATTTCTTAGCTACCCTAATGGGATTCAAATCCATTTTTGAGCAAATGCCCTTAATATTAATAATTATCATTCTTATGGCTTAATATAACATTATTGAATACCCATAACAATCACCCTTTATTAAGTATCTTCTATATGCCGGGCACAGTTCTAACCTGTCTACTCATTTATTTCTCACAGACGTTTCTCGCAATGTCTTTATACATTAGATACTTTCCACATGATGGATAGGAGAATCGAGGCACAGAGGAGTTGAGTAACTTGCCCAGAATCACACAGCTGGGAAGAGCTGGTTGTGGGATTTAAATTCAGGCGGAGGCACCCCCTGACCACCAATATTCATCCCTCTGCTTTTCCCAGCTGCCTCTTGAGGCATGTGAGAGAGGCTTACTGGCCCTGGGCTGCAGTGTTTGTCCCCAAGGTCACTCTGGGGATAAACAGGAAGATGGGGGTGAGGGGGAAGGGAGTTGCATAAGACAGGCACTTCAAAGGTGGCCTCTGCCTGGGTGCATAGCCTTGGCTTTGAGCAGCTAGCCAGGGGCACCGATTGGCAAGCTGAGGGCTGCCTACCCTCTATCTCCTACCCCCTTTCCTTAGTCCAAGGGCAGACCTGGAGGTGGAGGAGAGGAGCAAGACTGGGGCGAGAGGTCTTGAAATTGCAGGGGTGGAGGGGTGTAGAACAGGAATCAGGTGGTGCTAATAGGAATAAAAATAACAGCAGCCAACATTTATTGAGCACTTACTATACACTAAGCACGGCGCTAAATTCTTTTCTTATGTTAATAGCCAAATAGGTGGGGACTTTCAATCCTTCCCTTTAAGAGGCTCAGAGAGGTTAAGCCATTTGTTCAGAGTCACACAGCCAGTAAATCAAGGGTCCAGAGCTGCAGCTGGGCTGCCTGCCTTAGCAGGGAGGAGGCTCACAGGGGCAGCTGCCCTTCATGTGAGTTTGGCTCACTGTGGGGGAAGTGGGTTCTCACTTTCTCTGATACAAGCTGCAAAATAGAGTGAGAGGATCTCACAATGGTAGGCCCAGCCCTTTAGATGGGGAAACTGAGTCCTGATGATGGGTTGGGTAGGACCTGAGATTTAACATCATGTCAGGAGAGGAAACAAGAGTGGAACCCAGGTGGTCTGAGGCTCACCACCTGCTTCCCAAGCCAGGGTACTTCCCATGGCTCTGAGTTGAGGGAGCAGAAGGTAAGACCCTCAGACACACACCTTGGTTTTCCTTCTGCCCTCAACTTACTGTGTGGCTTTGTGCAAGTCATTCAACCTCTCTGGGCCTTAGTTTCTCCAACTGCAAAATCATGGTGGTATGAGAAATTAAATTTCTGGGGGGCTGGGGGTCTCCAAGCCCTAAAGCTTTGCATGCTAGTGCCTGCACATATACCCAATCAGAGCAGCTTGTATCAGTGCACACCAATTTTAGGCCCACATAAACCTATGACCCATGGGAAACCCTTCCCCAGCCCACCCTCCTCCTCCTCATTTTTATTATTACTGCTAGTATTTAAGCACCCTGCTTTTTCCTGCTCCTATTAGGAGCCAGGTGTGTCACAATTACAGTATAATATGAGATTCAGAGAAGTGAAGACACTAACCCAAGGTGCACAGCCAGTAAGTGACCCAGAGACAGAAGGAAAGACTGGTTAAGATAGAGACAGGAAGGCTGGGCGTGGTGGCTCACGCCTGTAATCCTAGCACTCTGGGTGGCCGAGGCGGGAGGATTGCTCGAGGTCAGGAGTTCAAAACCAAAATAGAAAGAAATTAATTGGCCAACTAATATATATAGAAAAAATTAGCCGGGCATGGTGGCGCATGCCTGTAGTCCCAGCCACTCAGGAGGCTGAGGCAGGAGGATTGCTTGAGCCCAGGAGTTTGAGGTTGCTGTGAGCTAGGCTGACGCCACGGCACTCACTCTAGCCTGGGCAACAAAGCGAGACTCTGTCTCAAATAAATAAATAAATAAAGATAGCGACAGGAAGACAGGGGAGGAAGGGAACATGCAGAGGCAAATATCACCCTTGTCCCCCTGCCCTAAAGCTGAAATTAAGCCAGACCATCCTTGACATGATCACAGACACCCAATGCCAGAGTCCCAGGAAGTGTGGACTGCAAGTATTGGTATCATTCATGCTGGGAACAATATCTCCAGAAATGTGCTGATGAATGCTTTGGGGTTGATTTATCCTGATATTTCCATTCCTTGTGACTCCCTGAGGGCACTGACCTTGTGCTACAGAGATTTCAGGCCTTCCTCATCTGCTCTAGGAAGTGGGAGGGTTAACGGATGCTAAGGAGGGAGATAGTGCCCGGGGCTGCAGACAGAGGGGCCTTGGTGGTGACCTTCCAGTTTAGAGTCGAATGAGGCCCTGGGCACTAGGTCTCGGGGCCAGAGAGGGGCACTGACTTGGCTACGGCCTCTCTGGAGTCAGGGGTAGGGTCTGGCCTCCAGCCTCAACGAGAACTTGCCCTTGCCCGGTGCTGCAGGCTGCCCGGCCCTGCTGTCAGCTGCAGGGCGAAGGATCGTGGCACAGGGGGAGTAGTGATGTGGTGTCTCCTTAATGGCCCTGGGGGTTGCATTGGAGGTGGCCCAGCTCTGACCCTCATACTCTGCCTCTGCGCCCCAGTGCCAGGGGGATGGGGAGGGTGGGTGACATTTTCCCACACCACGGCCTGGAGAAGTGGCTGCTTGCAGGGCCTGGAGAGGAAGGGAAAGCCAGGCTTGGAGGGCGATGTGGGGGGCAGGGGGGTTATTGGAAGGGGGGGGCCTTGAACAAAGGGGCCCCCATTGGAGCAGGCAGGGCTGCTGAGTGACGATCCACAGGCCAGCGGGGCGGGGCAGGTAGCAGAGAGCTGCAGAGAGAACCCACAAGGGAAAGAAGGCGGGACGGGGAGAGACAAGCAGGGAAAGGAAAGATGGAGGCAGACTGACGGGTAGGAAGGGAGAGACAGGAAAGTTAAGCTCAGAGACTCAGAGACGCGGAAACGAGAGTCTAGCAGGGAGAGAAAGAGAGAGGGGGGGCAGAAAACAGAGATAGGGCGAGATGGGAGAAACAGTCAATGTGATTTGTAGCCAACAGTGGACAGAAAACCTAATCAATGTCAGTTCATTTCAGCAGCAGAGATCTGAGGTCACCTGCGCCATGTCCTTGGTTGTCCCACCCAACTGGTCCTGGGTAGGGGGACAGCTGCACATTAGGCTCCAGCAGAGGGGTCTTCAGCCAAATTTGTACTGGTGTTAGTTTTCTTTCCAGAGAAAGTGGCTTTTCTAAGTGGTTTTTAATGACCCTCCCCCCTGCCCATCCCCCAGCACACCCCAACTCCAGTTTTAGAATTGCGTCTTGTCGGGTCTGGAGCAAGCATGTGAGCCTAGGCTTCCCTAGGCTGCCTACGGCCAGGCAGGGCCTCAAGCAGACACTCTTCTGGCACACGAAGAAGCCATGTCCAGCTGTGGGGACATGAGTGTGTGCTCACATGTGTAGACACAGGGCCACAGAACCTCCCCAAGATTAAGCCTCCTTGCCAGGTATGTGTGCACACACTCTCATGGACATCCACACACACACACACACATACATGCTTTAATCACTGCAGCATGCCCCTGAACACACACACATTCTACTTTTGTTGAACATCTACCACGTTCCAAGTGCTGGGCTGAGCACTGAAAATAAAGAGAAAAACAAAAAAGTGAAGAGGTGTCTGTCTCCTAGAGAGAGGTTGCTGGGATGCTGGCCATGGGGGCTGGGCTGTCCCTCAGGGCCCAGGGCACGAGGACTGCCCCTCTGTCCTTAGGAATGCCCAAAGACAGGGTCTGCGGTGGGGCAGAGGTCTGGCGTCTGGCTCCAGCCAGGGCTGAGGACACCGCCTTAGTGCAGCTGAGCTCAGGGCAAGATCAGGGCCCTCCAGAGTACAAATTCTGTCCTTTCTTTACCCCCATGAGAAATTAGCTGGAGGGTGGGGTTCCTGTCACCCCATCACATCTCAGAACTGCCCCCATGTCTGTTTCTTTGTGGAGTCAGGCACAGGAGCCCAAGTTGGGGACTGTCCCTCTAGCCCAAAAGGGGCCCCTGTGAAGGCTGGGGAAAGATATGTGGTTTCCTTTCGTACTTTCCCCAGCATCTCAGGAGGATGCGAATTTCCTTCAGTCTGGGCTGAGGCTCACGGTCATACCTAGTTTCTGCTGCCAACCTGAGCTGCTCTTTTTTGAGTTTTATTTCAAACATCCCCATGTCTGGAATAACAGCTAACATTCTATTCAATGCTCAGCACACACAGGATGCCAGGCTAAGCGCTTTGCAGATATTGCTTCATAGAAGACCCAGAACAGCTCCCCAGCATGGGAGTCATTATCACAAACCCCATTTTACAGATGGAGAAACTGGGGCCCAGGGAGGTGAAGGCATTTGCCGGAGCTCACATGGCAAACACTCACAGACAGGCAGGCTGACTTCAGAAATCAAGCTTTCATTAAATAACTAACACCTGCAATTCACCCTTGTGGTGAATAGTTCCGATTTATCTCTGTAGCCTTCAGAAATGGACAAGACATGGTGGGGTGTGTGTGTGTGTGTGTGTGTGTATTTGTGTGCGTGCATATTAATGGGTGGCGTAGATTCCGAGGGGTCAGCCAGGAGCTACCCAGGGACTCCAGCAGCAGAGGCCCGAGCTGGGGGAGAAGTTTCCAGGCGGAGGGGGCCTCGTCCAAGCCCACCGGCTCATTTAAGCCGCGTTCTGGTTCTGCAGCAGAGTTGCAGAGCGACCCGGCTCTGCGCCCGGCCTGCCTGCCGTGTAACAAGATAGTTTATATTATCCCGCCAAGCAGAAATAAAACTACTGAGTCAAACATTGCAAACAGATGCCGCGGCCAGAGCCCAGCGTCCGTGGCCAGATGCTCTTGGGAGCAGCCGGGGCGGGTAGAAACGGTGAGTCTGGTCCCCGCAGACCCCGCGGGTTCGGGGGCGGGGGCGCCGCTGGAACTGGAGGATTGGGGGCCACCAAGGGCTTTCAGAAGTGGAGGAAGGAGGAAATAAAGGAAGGAACTTAACGTAACTTTCTCTTTCACTTACTCTTTCCCCATACACATTACGACTCTGTGACTTGCCAATTTTTCCATTTTAATGGCCCTTTCTTCCATGAAGAGGTGAAGCCCAGGAAGGGAAGGTTTTAGCTTCCCTGAAATCCCCACTAGTTCTCCTGAAATACCCCAAATAAACCATGCTAAGTCCCTTAAACCCTCTTTTGCAAAGATTCTGCCTTTAAGCTCACAAGAAAATTCTGGAACTTCTATCCTCATGTGGTCACCTAACTCTTCTCTGTCACCCATCCCTGGGTCCTCCACTCATCTCATAGACTGCAGCCAGCATGCCCTTCTTTAAGCACTCACGGATGAAGTCATGCTCTTGCTCTCAAACCTTCAGTGGCTCCCTATTGCCCACAGTAGAATTGCTCCAACATGTCTGAGGAGTGTGTATGTCACGGTCTCCTGGGACGCTTTCAAAGACGCAGATTGCAGGGACACACACACCCGAGGTATTGAATCCAACTCCTTGGGACCTAGGAATCTGCATTGTAAATAATCCTAATCCTAATACCTTTCTGCAAGGAGGCAAGGTGTACTTATTTATTTATTTTTTTAAATGGGTACATTGTAATGTCATTAGGGTGGCCTCAAACTGAGCGTTTATATAGCACTTTTCATTCAGTTATTCAACAGATATTGACAGCACCTACTGTGTGCCGGCACCGTGCTAGGGGTTGGTGCCCAGGATACGGTGAGGACAAGGTGAATTGGGGCGTAGTGATCTTGGCGTTCATTTCCTGCGACTTCAGAGGAGGCAGAGCTTGATCCAAGCTGGAGGGTCCAGGATCACATCTGTGTCTCAGGGCTAGCCCAGGTGGGGACATGGGAACCCTTTGGATCTTCCAGCTTCTTATCTTTCCCAGAACCTTATCTTCCTCTTCCAGGAAGGCCCCGGAGGAGCCTCCAGCACTCTAGAAATGTTTGTTGAATGAATGAAAGAAGGATGGTAGGAGAGGAAGGGGAGATAAAAGGTATAAAAGAGGGGAAAGAGCCACACAATGAGAAAGGAGATAAAATGAAGAGGCCCCCATTGTATAGTTCAGAAATTCCAGAAATAGGGGTACAAACCTTGTGTGTGTAAACAGGCAGGGACTTTCAAAGCAATCAACATAACCCTGATTAGCACTTCTCCCTCCCTCTGTCTCTCAAACCCATTTCCTCCCAGCCAAGGCCCAGGGCCTGACATGCCTCAGTGTAACCCTAAGAGGCCGGGGCAGCTTGAGCAATTATTTTTGCACCAAGGAAAAAATAATCACCCTCAAAGATAGGCATGCTCAGGGCCCGGGTGGGGCACTTTGAGCTTGGAGACTCAGCCGATGCCCTCGTCACCCCATCCCCGAGCGTCCCTTCCCTCCCAGCCCCCACATGGTCTGGCCTCTGTCTTCTGACAGACAGGCTGGCCAGGCACCCCCAGAGACCACCCCCCTCCCCAGCCGGGGGCCTGTCCCCTCTGAAACTGATCCCGTGCCTTTGGATCTAATTTGTTTCTCTGTCTGCCGGAATTTTTTTTTTTTGGGGGGGGGGTCTTGCCTGGAGACGTGGTGGTCACAGGTGACATTAATCACATCTGCATCTTCCGAGGGATGAGGATAGGATATCAGAGAGGTGACCAAGCATTTGCCACATGATTCGAATCATCTCAGCATTGATTAATTGGGTTCATCCTGAGTTTCTGCATGGTAACAACTGTTTTTCTCCTTCCCCGAACGTCAACAGCCCCTTAAAGGGGAAGGATCCGCTTCCCCGTGGCATGTGGTGCATTAAGTTGATCAGCTCCTATTAAATGTTAAATGCTGGATGCGTTTTAGACAAACTCGATTTGCTCAAGATACTTTTCAAAGGTTCTGTGATGATTAGACAGCTCTCTCTCTGCCTCGCCCCCTTCCTCCCCGGCTTTCCTGGGATGTATTTTGGCTTCGGCCTCTGGCAGATGGGAAGAGGGTCCTTTGGAGGGGGAATTTGTTGGGGACTTGGGGGAAGGGGAGCCCCCACAGGCTGTTTAAAAGAGATACAGTTTCTGAAAAGTTTAATAAGGCAGAAAACAATCCCGGATGCCAGATTTGCCTTCCAAAACTTAAATATCCGGAATTGCCTCCTGCCCCTCAATGGTGGAGAAAAACAGCATTTCCCGAGCCAAAAAAGCAGTTTTCTGGAGAGGGGGAATTCTGTTTCTGCAACCAATATGGGTTCTGGAAGCCTATGGAAGGAATAAGCACGGAAACAAAACCCAGTTTCGAATGCAAAACATTGAGGAGAGGAGCGGGAGTGAAAATAGTCAAAGTGTAGGTTTATTTCTTCTTCTCTATTTCCTACCTGTGAAGGGCGACACTCGGCGGGGACCCCATCGTGTCGGCTGTGCGACCTTGGAAAGGTCACTGTATTTAATCCGAATCTCAGACTTCTGGTTTGTGAGGATAGAATTAATACTATTCACTTCTATGGAGAAGTCAAAGCTACAAGAAGGAACTTTGGTGAAACGGCTTAGCTAATGCTGGGTTCTTGGCAGACACTTGACAAATGAACATGTATGTGTTGAGCATGGACACCCTGGCCCTCCATATGTGTGGACTCGTTGGGTTCAAAAAGTTTCCAAACAGATGAGCTCCAAGGTTTAGCCAGAGAGACCATTTGGCTGTGATATCTGGTGGACAACATGGAAATCTAGAGCCAGTCTGCCAGTGTGGGCCTGGAAACCCCCAGCAATGCCGGAACGAATAGTGAATTGGAAATTGATTAGCATGTCTGGAAGGTTCTCAGGGAGGATGGAGGCTGTTCACCCTGACATAGCAAACCTCAAGGGGATCCTTGTCAGCGGTGTTTTCTCTGCCAACAGCATGCTCAGATATTTGAAACGCCCTTGGTCCTCTGTGATCCCAGACTTGTTCTCGGTGATAGAGAGTGAGCAAGGTATGGGGACAGGTTCACCCAAACTGTGCATGCTCTGGGCGGGCTCTGGGCCTGGCTTACTATCACCGCCCTGAGCCATAGTTCCATGGCAGCTGCTACTGGGTCGTTCTGCTGAGAGACTGGGCTTTCCTGGTGGCCTGGGAGACAGAGGAGAGGATGGGCAGGCAGACCACATTGGGAGAAAGGAGGCAGAGGGCAGGGGTCTCTAGAGGAGCGACAGAGACAGACAGAGGCGAGAGACAGAGAAAGAGTCAGGCAGAGAAAGAGAGACACAAAGATAAGGACAGGGAGAATAAGACTGAGATAAAAGAAAAAAGCAAAGAGAGAGACAGACAGACCAAGTTATATGCATGTAGAATATAGCAAAAGAGAGCCAAGGAGAGGTCAGAGATACCAGACGAAAGCTGCAGAGAGAAAAAGAAACACAAGACACGGCCACATCAGGAGAAATAGGGGACCAGTGGACTAGCGTCGAGGATACTTGAAACACAGCGTCCTGGACGTGGAGGGGCCCCCTTCCCAGGATGCCATTCCTCTCCCCTGCTAGCCTGGCACCCTTGGGGACACTACTGGGATATCACAAGTTGGACAGCAGGGCTGCAAGGCGGATGACAGCAGGGAGGGACGGCCTGTGGGGAGGATCAAAGGGAGCTGGGCCCCGGATTCATTGGCAGGACTCCCACAGGCCTGAATTCCTGGCCGAACCCCCAGGAAACATTCTGATGTGCAGATAGAGACACTCCAACTACATGCAGCAGCAGCGGGCGGCCTGCTCCCTTCCTCCTCCTCCTCCTCCTCCTCCTCCTCCATGTTCCTTGAAATCACAATTGAGGGGTGGTGAATGCTTCACGGAACTCAAGAGACAGGAGGGTCGAACATTCTCGCAGCAGCCGGGGTCCACCTTACCGAGCTCTTGGAAGACCCAAACGAGAGTGGTGTCGGCGCACAGCCGGCGGGAAGAGGAAGGTGCCCGTTTGGACACATCCTTGGGAGGAATTCCAGCCTCATTCGTTCCCTAAACCTGAGTGTCCTTGTGGGTGAAATGGGGGTGACCCTCATGCTTCTCTGGCTGCTTGGCTGGGGGCCTCCAATGGGCTGAGCTCAGCGCCCAGCATATAGCAAGCGCTCGGCACACAGAGGTTCTGGAGTGCACAGAAGACAGAAGCCAGATCGCCGTCCCGGACAGGGGTAATATATGGCATCGAGCTCTGGCTGAGAATTGAATTCAACCTCAGCCGGAGAATTGGAACATTGTGATTAGAAGCAAGAAGAGAGAAGGGACAAAACAACCTGTCTTCAAGTGCACGATGACAGAGCACAGGCTCTCCTGGCAGCCCGAGGGGCTGGGGAAGGACAGGGCAGATCATATTAATAACAATAAATTATATCTGCACTGTGATTTATGGGTCCTGATGTGCTTCTCATTATGTTATCTTACAGCGCAGCAGGACGGGCATAGCATCCTCATTAGCGTGTCGCAGTCCTTTTAATGTAATCGTTGCTATTAGTGACGACGATGTTATCCATGTTATTATTGACATCATCTCTCCCAGTTTCCCAATTGGGGAAACTGAGGCTCAGGGACAGCTATCGACTTGCTCAAGGAAAAGGTCAGTGCTAGGGTTCAAGTCCTGAATTTTTTTTTTTTATTTCCTGGCTGCTCTCTGGTCTCCTCTCCGAGACAGTCCCCTTTTCGACTCTGCCATGTTGTAGCCTTTTTGGTCTGGGGAATCTTGGGTCCCTTTCCCCCATAATACATAGGTTTTTTCTTCTTATCAGCCAAGGGTGACGGGGCTCCTAGGTCCCCTGTCTGGCCCCAGGGCCTCCCACTGCCTCCCCCACCAGCACCCAGCCCAAACTCTGTTCCCACTCAAGGTAGCTTCAATGAGGGCAAGGATCCTTTTGGGCACCTGCCCATAGCAGGGCAGACAGGGG